TTTCACTGCATAGATTGTCCCTGGCTCAAAGAGATGAATCCAACTCTTATATTGGATTAGGAATCGTTCAGTTAGCTGGCTCTGCTTCAGACAAAGTCAGGTTTATCCCCTGATGTGATCATACTGGTGCACTTTTAATTAGACGTGGCACCCGCCGAGCAGATATCTTTGGACAGAATATTCTCAACTCTCTCACGGAATATTCTATTTGATTTATAGTCAGAGTCCTGTTGTCGATCACTATGTGATCACAAACGGTCTTTTTTCTTGCCGGTGGCAATCGCAGGGCCTCCAAACTTTGAGACCAATTCAAGACTCTCCCTTCCTCTCTTAAATTCAGCTGCCCACATTGTCACTTTGATAAAGCTATACCGTCATTCTTTAATGTTATAAATGTAAGAATTGATGTCCTTGAAGGGCAAACTCCTTTTCTGCAGGGGCTTGAAAACACCACAGTGCCAAGTTTTCTCCATTTTCAAGAGAAGTCGATGCTAGTTACATTTTGAATTCTTCTTTGAAGAGTCAGATATCTGTTTACCTGGAAGCAAGCGATGTGGTTATGAATAAGAAGGGTGGAAATTAATGCGTGCAAGATTTCACCGCTATAGAAGAGAATTCTTCTAGAGGGCATAGAAGCGTTGCAGAGATGAATGGAAACGCCAATTAGACTAGAGGCGGATTCTTTGAAGAAGACACCATGTAGTTTGTTGTTTTGAATCTAAATAAATTGTTCGTGACAACAATCCCGTTACTTTTCAGACAGATTTCCGGTATTGAGTCTTTGATTATCTGTTTATATTTCTGAGATGAGGTATTATGTAAACTATTTCCATGAGTTGGACTAATGCCTTCATCTTTGTCACCATATTTATTACAATGTTTCGGCCTTTCAGTATCTTTCTATATTTCTGAGATGAGGTATTATGTACACTATTTACATTATTCTGACTATTGTCTTCATCTTTGTCGCCATATTTATTACAACGTTTCGGCCTTTCAGTATCTTTCTATATTTCTGAGATGAGGTATTATGTACACTATTTACATTATTCGGGCTATTGTCCTCATCTTTGTTGCCATATTTATTACAATGTTTCGGCCTTTCAGTATCTGTCTATATTTCTGAGATGAGGTATTATGTACACTATTTACATTATTCGGACTATTGTCCTCATCTTTGTCGCCATATTATTACAACGTTTCGGCCTTTCAGTATCTGTCTATATTTCTGAGATGGGGTATTATATACACCAATTACATTATTCGGACTATTGTCCTCATCTTCCTTAAGGATACATGGCACAGTGGATAAAGGCGTTGGTTAGATCCTGTGGCAGGACGCAAAGAGTGTGAGTTCAATACCCGGTTAAGGCATTGAAGAACTTTCAGAGGGGAATTAACAGGAGATAACTGACAACTGACATCCATTAAACATGGCATATGGAACTAGAACAGTCTACCTCAGTGAGCGAAATAAAGATTACGGACATTCCAACCACCTGAAGAAAGCCGAGGAGTACAACGGTCGAAACGTTGTAATAAATATTGCGTCAATGATGAGGACAATAATCCAAATGATATAAATAGTGTATTGCGACATTTGTTTAGATAGCTGGGTACTAAGGTGTGATTGTCAAATAATTAAGGGTAGATCGAAGTGGATCTATAGTAGGTATATAAGTTAGCTCAAATGTAGATCAGTAATTGAGAACAACGGGACACAGGTATAAAGAAAGGACCATCTACAGCTAAAATGAGCGTCTTTTATCAGAGACAAAATGTGACCTGTGGCCATTTATGCAAAATAACATGTAAATAAAAATAATCCAACCAAGACAGGCGTTTCTCCGCCCACACGTCACTCTGTCAGAAACCAATGGAAGGTATGTACCTATTACTTTTTCTGACACACTGCCATCTCAATTAAATATATGTTTTTTTTTTAAGATCAGATTGATTTTTAGGGCGATGGGGGTGAAAACCAATATAACAGAGAATAAGTAATATATCGTAATATACTGATAAAGTCGTAGACAGGGGTTTTGATTTAGTCTTTTTTTTAGTATTTGTCTTCAGCTATCAATTGGAGTGTTCAAACCCGAACCACCTTTAATGTGATGGATCTGTCATGACTGAAGAAAATGTAAAAATGTCTATAATAATTTTAAGAAGACTATCATGTTATAGTAAAAGTGACATTAGCATTTTATTTAATATTGTTAAATTTATTAAACTAAGCACATCGTGAGCAAAGATTTCTTGACAGTAACTTTAGGGATGATTTTATAGGTTTATCTGTAGTATCGCTATTTTTATTTAAATTGTTTATAAAATCACATAAAATCACACACACAAGCACACACACACAAGTAATTTGGAAATTTTTTCTTTTGGTTGAGTTTCTGGTTGAAGTTTATATATTGGCTTAATTTATTAAATTTCTTATAAATTATATCAAATTATAGCGTGTTTGGAAGGTCACGATGAGACCTTTTTTGATGGTTTTTCTGTTGTCGTCACTCTGAAGATGATATTGTTTTCTTCTATTTTTTAAGTTATCAATTATGAAGATTCAAATCTATTCTGGGAAGATTTACTAATTATTCTAATAATTTTTGATTGCGGCCATAGAGTGATTGACGTTTTTGCTCATATTTAACTTTTATACAGTTTTATAAAATTATTACCATTTATAGAAGATTCCCAAACTATCTATTTGCTTGATTTTTCTAGCGTGAATACTTTTGTTTGAATTGATAACAGTATACACACACACACACACACACACACACACACACACACACACACACACACACACACATATATATATATATATATATATATATATATATATATATATATATATATATATATATATATATGTGTGTGTGTGATAAAAATTATAGTTTTAAGGTATGGTACATTTATGGCTAAACGTGTTCAATATCAAAAGATAGAGCGTACGTTCTGTTGATCTCAGTATCGAATGTGTCAACATTATATATATATATATATATATATATATATATATATATATACACACACACACACACACACACATATATATATATATATATATATATATATATATATATATATATATTAAAAGGAGAGAGAAACAGCAAAAGTTTTTGGTTGTAATGTGGATTTTTAAAAAAAATATATATTATACATTATTTTCCATAATTTTGCAACACACGTTTCGGGTCCTGCGACCTTCTTCAGGCAAAGAGTGCTTATTTCCACATGTTATTGAAATGAATTAATTTTCTTTTTCTTTTTTGATGATAGACATTTTCTTTTTCTGTGTAGTAGTGACACAAACGTCTTTCTGGGACTAGTGGTAAGAAGGTTATTTTGCTTGAAGGGTAAGAAAACAATTAAGATTAGTCCGAGGAAGGGTGAGAAATGATATCTGTATTCTCATCCTTTAATGACTCATGTGTGTCCTTAGATCTATTTCCATTTTTGTATTGTGTGTGTTTTTGCTAGTGTGCGTATGTATATGTGTATATTCCCTTTCCCTACATACATACTGTCTTATTATAAGGAATTATATATATATATATATATATATATATATATATATATATATATAGTCTATTTGTTTTTTTCCAACATGTGTATATATATTCGTGCTCCGCAGATAGCCGCGTGTGAGTATGCATGTGAGTAGTTCGACCACTGGATTTGGCCATTATGTGTGCATGTTGGGTGTTTTTGTGTGTGGGGTTATGATCTTGCAAAATGATTATGTGATATATTTATTTATGATTTCTTTATTATATTGACGTTCAGATTGAATTTCCCTTCCATTCTTTTAAAGTTATCAATTATAAAAATGCAAATCTATTCTGTGAAGATACACTGAATTTCTTTTATTGATTTTTTCTTGCAGCCAGAGTGTAGTTAGCACTTATGCTTAATTTTACTTTACGTTTAACCATTTTGGGAACAATTCCTTCAAATGATTGATTCATCGGGGATTAATTTTTATACTTAGTGTTTTTTTGATTTTTTAATACCATCTTTATTTAGGGTGCTGGTGGTGTGAGTGATAGATTCTTTCCCAAAGGCATTTATGCAGGAGAAGAGTCTGAAATTTGAACTTTATTATCGGCTCTATTAGTCGCAAATGATTATTTTATTATCAGCATTATAAAATAATGGACATGTGTAAATAGAAGACTTGCATTCTGACAATGAGACCCGGGTTCGAATATCACCATCGTCGATTTGTCAGGAAGGAGATTTCCTGATATTATCGGACTGGATAGGTCGATCCCAGCGAGCGGCACCTTTGGAATGTGCCTGAAAAACATACTGACCCAAACCTTGTGAGTAAAATTGGGTTGACGAAACCCAGTCGATAGCTGTGCTAGCACGAAGTCACAAGTCATCGTGGCCGAAGGCTTGAGTGTGCTGGCTTGAGCGTGCTGACTTGAGTGTGCTGGCCTTGATAGAGAGAAAAAAATTCCATAATGTATATTTTTTTTTCACGTTCTAATGAACACTAAGCACATTTTCAACCGTTTTGCATTTAAAAGCATAAAGAAAAAATACGGTAATGGATAAAAATGCACAACTTTGTATAAATATTGTATTTATGAAGAACATATAGTTTTGTATTTCTAGCACCCCTGAAGAGGATCTTTTAAGAAGATCGAAAGTACTTGGGAATTGAATATAAAAAGAAATTTAAACAGCTATAGAACATTTCTCTCATAATTTAACATCAATACACGGAAAGTTATTCGTGAATATGAACGGATTTTGTTAAAAATTAGCAGACACAATGTCTGTAATTTATTTAATTGGACATGCCGAAAAGTGAATTTGGTGCATAAATACACAAAAATTATATATATATATATATATATATATATATATATAGATAGATAGATAGATAGATAGATAGATAATGAAACTTTTTACATAGATATACAGATAGATAATGAAAAGCCTTAGATGGATATATAGATCGATAGATATGAAAATTCTTAGATAGATAGATAGATAGATAGATAGATAGATAGATAGATAATGAAAGGTCTTAGATAGATAGATAGATAGATAGATAGATAATGAAAGGTCTTAGATAGATAGATAGATAGATATGAAGACCTTAGATAGATAGATAGATAGATAGATAGATAGATATGAAGACCATAGATAGATAGATAGATAGATATGAAAAGCCATAGATAGACAGATATGAAAAGCTTTACATACATAAATAAATAGATATGAAAAGTATTAGATAGATAGATAGATAGATAATGAAAAGCCTTAGTATATAGATAATGAAAAGTTTTAGATAGATATACAGATAGATAATGAAAAGCCTTAGATGGATATATAGATCGATAGATATGAAAATTCTTAGATAGATAGATAGATAGATAGATAGATAGATAATGAAAGGTCTTAGATAGATAGTTAGATAGATAGATGTGAAAGTCCTGAGACAGATAGATAGATAGATAGATATGAAAGCCATAGATAGACAAATATGAAAAGCTTTACATACATAAATAAATAGATAGATATGAAAAGTTTTAGATAGATAGATAGATAGATAGATAGATAGATAGATAGATAGATAGATATAGAAAGCATTAGATAAATAGATAGATAGATAGATGATATTCCAAAAGTTTTGAGCCCACCATCATTAAAGATATGACAGGAGGAAAGAATAATTTTACTTTAATTTATTCTTTGAATAGTTTTACTTTTTTTCAATAACGTTTCCTTTATTTGATCTTTTGGGCGTGGTTTTTATAATCAAAGAATTTCGAACGGCGCCAATACTCAGTCGCCAAATAAATACGAATGACTATTTTTGTATGGAATTATAGACTTCTTGTTCTGCAGTCCGTTTCAGCTGGAACTATAAAATAACAGAAAATATAAAGAAAGAAGATAACGATTGACTCTGCATTTACATTTTTGAAGATCAAATTTGGCTGGAAATCAAGAAGCCAGAAGTAGAGTTCCAACCGTGAGAAGTGCGAGAAAATAAACTGCTAATATGTGTCTATATATCTGAGATCAGTTATTATGATTATTTACATTATTTTCATTATTCGGACTGTTATCCTCATCTTCATTGCCATATTCACAACGTTTCAGCGGTTGTACGCTCCGCCCTTCAAGTGATTTGAATGTTTTGCAGGAAATAAGTGAGAGATCCGGAAGAGGCGTGACACGTGGAACTAGAGCAATCCACCCCGGTTGACGAAATAAAGGGTTCGATCGAAATTGCAATCACCTGAAGAAGGTCGGAGCGTACAGTGGCCGAAACATTGTGAATATGGCAATAAAGATGAGAATAACAGTCTATTACCGGGCTTAAATTCTTAATGTCTTGGTGCAACAGAACAAAACTTATCCAAACAATTACCATGAAAGTGTTTATAGAAATCGCACAGGGAAGCTGCATTTACAATTCTAGGAAGGTGATTCCTGCCGGGATGCTAGATCAGGTTAAATAACATTGCAGATTCTTTTTTTTTGATTTTATCAAGAATCTCCAAATAGGAACACCAGATTAGGTGGCAGCAATATTCAAAGCATCGATGAATAGTAGACATATAAATAACTAAAATAGATTTTGAATAGAAACATTGCCTAGCATGATACGACACAGTGAACCAACTGTCCTTGCAGAAAATCTAGCAATTGATTCAATATAATCTTTACACTTTATGTCAGCATTTGAACGTTCGCCTCAAAAGGCGCGAGTCACTGTATTGGAGGTTAGCATGTGTCGTTGCAAAAGTCTACAAGACTGTCTTCAGGCCAATAACCTAAAGTTGCACAGTCTCTGTTTCTTACTGTAAGTAAAATCGATTTATCTTTCTACTAGTACAAAGGCTTTCTTGTAATATATAGCGCAATGCATATGGTATGTATCGGCAACTGTACAAGTATATTTTGTCGACTACAGCTCACTGATGGTGAAGATGTCGTGTGTAGGAGCAAAATCCGTGGCATAACATTACAAGCACATGTCCCTCCGCGGCGAATATTTTCACTGAAGTGTTTTGAATGATTTTTTTTATAAGGAAAGCTCGCATTTTTGCTAATTGCTGATTCGTCAATTCACGAACAAAAAAAAGACACAGCCATATGCCGTGAGTGAGAGCAAAATCCTTAGCATAGCTTTGCAAAGACATGTCCATCCGTGGCGAATAATTTTATTGAAGAGTTTTGAATAGAGGTTTATTTTACAAGGAAAGCTCGCATTTTTACTAATTGCTGATTCGTCAATTCACGGAAAAATGAAAAGACACCGCCATATATCGTGAGTGGGAGCAAAATCCTTGGCATAGCATTGCAAACACATGTCCATCCGTGGCGAATAATTTCATTGAAGAGTTTCTTGGAGTTTTTTTTTTTTTTTTTTTTTGTTACTAGGAAAGCTCGCATTTTTACTAATTGCTGATTTGTCAATTCACGGACAAATGAAAATACACTGCCATATCCTTTTTGTTTCGGGGGCTTGTGACTATCAACTAACTGACTCTGTCAAATATATCGTATTCAAGAAATACGATAAATTCCCAACAACATGTGTGGAGGTTTATTAATTTAGTATATTTTTTCTTCATCCTAAACTTAATCTATGCAGTCACTTTTTTGGTAATTTCACTACATATTATATATTATAACTCTTATTTCCGAGTTGTTATTTAGTGGTCATTCGAGTTGCGGTCATGCTAGAGTTGACAATTTTTCTATAATTATATTAAATTTACTTACAAAATTGCCCCGGCGTCATGTAGACGAAAATATCTTTGATGGCGTATTCATTGCGGCAGTCTCTCCACATGATTAGGTAATTATCTTATTTTTTCTTCACATTTATATTATATCCCAGTGAGAATAATGTTTGTTTATATAAATTTCTGATACCAAAATGAGTTCACTGAAATTTGTGCTCGTAATGCGAAAGGAAGCTAATAGCAGTCAAAATCGTTTCACAGTCGAAATTTGCTTTGCATAGAAAATCTAGACTTGAATTTTTATATTATGAAATTTATTATTTTTAAAATCAGACAAATATGTCAGTATATCCAGAATATAATTTCGTATTTCATCGCGATAAAGTATTTCCTTGCTCAGAAAATCTAGGGTAGAAATTTTATATCATAAAATGTATTATAAAAATTAGAGAAATATATTATAGTGTTTGGAAAATATCTCGCCATTAGAAATTGTTAGTTAACTAACCAAGGCAGAAGCAAAGATGAATGGTACAAAACCGCATCTAGAATTAAGAAACCATTTTTTAAGGTGTTCAGAAAGTAATTACATATTTCACAGCTATGGATTTTGTGTCAAGCAACCAAAGCATAACTATGGTTGAATACTACAATAAATGTATCATTTTTTTAGTCTGATAGTTTGTTGTTAATAGTTTATAGTTTATTTTAGAGTTTCATTGAATAAATTTGCAAAGAAGGGATTTGAGTTTCTCAGGAACCTTCTCTTGAGAACCAAAAGCAACGTCCGACCATCTCCAGCAGTCTTTTAAATCCTATTACTGTTTCCCTGAGAGCTATAATCTCCAACTATTCAAATGTAATGTCAATCGACATCTCCAGTTACCTTGATCTATCCATTATCCTTCTCCTCATCCTTTCTTCTATCACTCCTATCTGCTCTCGCGCCAAATCTTCTGCAACCCCCCCTGCATCCTAGTGGCTTCCCGCCTTGCTCGGGGCGTAATGCTTAAAAAAAGAAAGAAAAAAAAAACAGGAGTACCTAACTTTCATTGTTTCATCGCATTATGACATGCGAGGATAAATGGGTTTTGCATGCCAAAAGAAAATGAATGTTGCTACTGCAAACTGCGAAGCTTGTGCCGAAACCAAAAGCAGAACTCCATTCAGAGAAGTTCTTGCTTTGTGTCTGATGAAATGTGAAATGTGGATCCCATAGTGGAACATGGAAGGAAAATAACAGCAGATTTTCAGTAACTTGATCGGTTAAAACAGGATATCTCAACATGGGCGATATCACTTACCGGTGGGCGAGCTTAACTGTTGGGTGGGCAACTCAACATAAAATGGTGGACGTATGGAAATTTTAGTGGGCGATATAGAATTTCAAGTATTAAAAAGCGCTTTCAACATACAAAACTCGAAAAGATATTCAAATTAGATATGCAAATACCAGTACTGAAAAGGCGGGGGCGGAGCTTAATGGGAATAAGTATGTTAAATTCCTAGATAAGCTATAAATATTCCCGCCAGCAACCATTATTTTGGTATTTTCTATAGATCTGACAAGGGTCATTACCATTAAAATAGTTCAGACGAAATAATATTTGCGGGGGGGGCGGTATAAACATAAAAGAAGACTAAGAACAACAAAAATCCTCATGAAATTTTTATTAGTTGCTAGTGTTGTATATTCTTTATAATTTTATAATTATAAACAAAAATCGTTTAATTTTTTGTCAACATTTGAAATGCTAACACTAACCATAAAAATGAACTTGTCCATAAAACTAAATTATATATATAGTTTTCAATCGTTTGTTTTTAATATGTTAGAAGCAGCAGCCGCCGCAAAAGTCAGCGTTATTTGTTACCTCCCTTTGCAATTTTTTTTTTACTACATCATAAATTCATTTTACGAACCAGTAACAAACTTTTACGAAATATGCTTTTTAATATTTAATATACTGGTGGGCTTTTTAATATTTAATATACAGGTGGGCGGTGCAAACTTTTTCTACGTGAAAGTGGGCGATGAGGCATAAAAGGTTGCGGGGACTTCGGGGTTAAAGGAAATGTCATGTCGACGATGCCCGATTTTGGTAAAGAGAAAAATGTTATATTCTTCGGCATGACAAAGCAAGGGCACGCTGTGCAAAGAAAACTAAGAGAAAATAAGATTAGGAAAGCAGGTTCACACTCACAGATGTTCCCTTGTTTCGGTCGCCAGAACATTTCGTAGATAACAGAATATTGAAAAACAAACAAAAAAACCCCCAAAAAAACGAATACATTGATAATTCTTTCAAACACATTTTGGGGGAAAAACGTATATTTTTTTTAAAACGTGGAATCGATTATTTGGTTTCCTGTTGAGCCGCGGAATATATTTAATTATGTTTAGCTTAAATTTGTTTATTAACCCTTTCAGCTAAAATACAATTACTTTCCAAATCCCGCTACTATATATAATTTCGCATAATTTCTTTCATTTTTCTTTCTTTCTTTTTCCTTTTTATTTCTTTTTTTCTGTTTCGTTCTTTCTTTTTTCTTTTTCTTTCGTTATTTCTTTTCTTTATTCGTTCTTCCTTTCTTTTTCTTTCTTTTTCATTTTTATTTCTTTCTTTTCATTTTTCTTTCTTTTTTCTTTATTTTCCTTTCTTTCTTTCGTTCTTTCTTTCTTTCTTTCTTTATTTTCCTTCTTTCTTTCATTCTTTCTTTTTCTTCCTTTCTTTTTCTTTCTTTCTTTCTTTCTTTTTTCTTTCTTTTTCATTTTTATTTCTTTCTTTTCATTTTTCTTTCTTTTTCTTTTTTCATTCTTTCTTTCTTTTACTTTCTTTCATTCTTTCTTTCTTTCTTTCTTTCTTTTCCTCCTTTCTTTTTCTTTTTATTTCTTTTTATTTCTTTCTTTTCTTTTTTCTTTCTATTTCTTTTTTCGATTTTTCTTTCTTTCCTTCGTTCTTCCTTTCATTCTTTTTCTTCTATCTTTCTTTCTCTATTTCTTTCTTTTTCTTTTTCTTCTTTCTTTTTCTTCTTTCTTTCTTTTTTCTTTCTTTCTTTGCAACGTAAATTACTAAAGCTTATAAGAAAATTAGATTTCAACATTAAATGACCCATAAGGTGTTGATATGCCGCTAAAACGTTGTGAACATGGCAATGAAGATTAGGATAACATTCCGTATAATGTAAATAATGCAAGTAATCATAATACTTCATCTCAGAGATATAGAGGCCGAAACGTTTTGAAGATGGCAATGAAGATGAGGATAACAGCCTGAATAAAGTGAATAATGTAAATAATGCAAGTAATCATAATACCTCATCTCAGGGATATAGAGGCCGAAACGTTGTGAAGATGGCTGTGAAGATGAGGATAATAGTTTAAATAATGTAAATAATGCAATTAATCATAATACCTTATCTCAGGGATATAGAGGCCGAAACGTTGTGAAGATGGCTGTGAAGATGAGGATAATAGTTTAAATAATGTAAATAATGCAATTAATCATAATACCTCATCTCAGGGATATAGAGGCCGAAACGTTGTGAAGATGGCTGTGAAGATGAGGATAACAGTCTGAATAATGTAAATAAAGCAAGTAATCATAATACCTCATCTCAGAGATATAGAGGCCGAAACGTTGTGGAGATGGCTGTGAAGATGAGGATAAAAGTCCGAATAATGTAATTAATGCAAGTAATCCTAATACCTCATCTCAGAGATATAGAGGCCGAAACGTTGTGAACATGGCAATGAAGATGAGGATAACAGTCCCAATTAGAAGCGGCTGAAGAATCTTATACTCACAAGTCGAATAGAGGGAACGAGAGAAGATAAAACAACGCGTGAAATACGTGGTGGGCTTAAGCGAGTGGATGACAGAACATGGCCTGGGGGAGGAAGCAGAGGAAAGAAACTTGTTGCTTGCTGCAGAAGACAGAGTAGGGAGAGAGCCATTATCGCCTACATCCTGAAAGGACATGACACATAAAAAGATAGAAGAATTTAGGTATTCAATTATCCGAAATTTAGCCGCACATTTTTTTCAACGCCAAGTTATTTTGATAATCGAACAAGTACTGAATTAGAATAAAATTAAAAAAAAATCATCTACTGGAGAAGCTAGAACATGTAGAGATATTTTTCAGGTAAGAAAATTAAAAGGGAGACAGTGTGAGGTTACCTCGACGAAAATCTAATTCTTGTCCAATTTATTTCATCTAAGACTTTGGCAGACATTAAACATATTGAACAATATGTGTGATTTGATTTATAAATGTTAAAGTTTGTTCAGAAAAAAAAATAATTTATCAAATCTTTTTCGATAATTTAGATATTCCATTCGAAATTTTGAATTATCCGAAAGTCTTTTTTCAAACCCTATACAAATGTGTCTTGATAATCGAGGACATATTGTATCAGAAATAAACTATTCATTTATAGTTCTGGGATACGCACAGACATTTTTCAGGTAAAAAAATAAAGAAAATTAAAGGGGAATCGATGTAATGTGACTTCGACAAAATACCAATTTTTGTCAACTTAATTTCATCTAAGAGTTTGACAGAGTCTGCAAACATTTAAATTGGGGGTCGTCGATGCGACCAAAGAAGTAATATTGAGGTCAGGTCGTTGTTGGAATAGAAGAAATGGTGGCTGTCATTGTAGGTAATAAAATGTTTCACATGATGACAGATGATTACCTAAGGACAACAGACAAAAATTACAGAAAGTGTTTGTACAATCCCCTTAGATAATTCAAAGTCCGG